CTCAAGTGATGCTCTTACCTCAGCCTCCAGAGTAGCTGGGACTGCAGGCACGTGCCACCATGCCTAGCTTTTTTTTTTTTTTAAATTTTTTGTAGAGATGGGGTCCCATTATGTTGCCCAGGCTGGTCTCCAACTCCTGGCTTCAAGCAATCCTCCCACCTCAGCCTTCCAAAGTGCTGGGATTACAGGCATGAGCCACTGCACCTGGCCAAGATAAATATTATTAAAACATTATTTTAACAGTGTATGTTATTTGTTCAGATAATACTTTTTTCTTTCACTAAAAATGAGGGTCTGAGGGTGAGATGATGTCTAAGGTAATTTTCAGCTCTGCATGTTGCATTCATATTCTACAAATGTGGAGATCATAGGCTACAAGTACTAAATGTCTGTTTTCTTGATTCTTGAGATACCACTGCCACTAATGGGAATAACGGTGAACTTCATTTAAAAGTTTTTTAAGCAGGGCATGGTGGCTCACACCTGTAATCCCAACACTTTGGGAGGCTGAGGCAGGTGGATCACGAGGTCAGGAGATCAAGACCATCCGGGCTAACACGGTGAAACCCTATCTCTACTAAAAATACAAACAGGCCGGGCGCGGTGGCTCAAGCCTGTAATCCCAGCACTTTGGGAGGCCGAGACGGGCGGATCACGAGGTCAGGAGATCGAGACCATCCTGGCTAACACGGTGAAACCCCGTCTCTACTAAAAAATACAAAAAACTAGCCGGGCAAGGTGGCGGGTGCCTGTAGTCCCAGCTACTCGGGAGGCTGAGGCAGGAGAATGGCGTGAACCCGGGAGGCGGAGCTTGCAGTGAGCTGAGATCTGGCCACTGCACTCCAGCCTGGGTGACAGAGCAAGACTCCGTCTCAAAAAAAAAAAATAAATAAAAAAAAATAAAAAAAAATAAAAATACAAACAAACAAACAAACAAACAAAACTTAGCCGGGCATGGGGGCAGGTGCCTGTAGTCCCAGCTACTCAAGAGGCTGAGGCAGGAGAATGGCGTGAACCCAGGAGGCGGAGCTTGCAGTAAGCTGAGATCGTGCTACTGCACTCCAGCCTGGGTAACAGAGCGAGACTTTGTCTCAAAACACACACACACACACACACACACACACACACACACACACACAGTTTTTTAAAACGGACTGGGCGCAGTGGCTCACACCTATAATCCCAGCACTTTGGGAGGCCAAGGTGGGTGGATCACTTGAGGTCAGGAGTTTGAGATCAGCCTGGCCAACATGATGAAACCCCTTCTCTACTAAAAATACAACAATTAGGTTGGCGTGGTGGCACACACCTGTAATCCTGGCTACTTGGGAGGCTGAGGCAGGAGAATTGCTTGACCTGGGAGGCGGAGGTTGCAGTGAGTCGAGATTGCGGCACTACACTCTAGCCTCGGAGAGAGCAAGATTCTGTCTCAAAAAAAAAAGTTTTTTAAAACAGCGTATGTCAAGATTTGAATGTCAGTGGGAAAAAACAAACGGGTAGCTTCTAAGAGACACAACAAAGCCACATTTATCCTGCTGAATTCATTGCAATACAAGGCTTGGGCCTTGCAAAAGTAAAGCAGAGAGAAGAAATTGCCTGTCATCAAGTGCTTGCTGTATGCCGGGCACTTGACTACATAAGCACTTTACATAACAAGGTTGTTGTTCCATCAACAACCTTAGGATGAGGTGTTCACATTCTCAGCGGAAGACAAGGATACTAGGGCAGAGTGAGCATGAGCCACAGCACTTAGTAAATGAAGGATCTGGGACTAAACAACAATAACAATCATGAGTACTTCTCGATCTCTTCCTCTGTGCCAGGTACTGTTCTAAGTACTTGACTTGAATTCACTCATTTAATTCACACAACTCTGTGAGCTAAGTACTGTTTTCTATTCACCAATAATAATGAGGAAACAAGTACTAAGAAGTTAAAGACCTGACCAAAGTTCGTATCTAGTAAGTGGCTGTGATGGTGAATACTGAATCAACTTGGTCGTATTGAAAGATGCAAAGCATTGATCCTGGGTGTGTCTGTGAGGGTGTTACTCAAAGATTAACATTTGAGTCCGTGGGCTGGGAAAGGCAGACCCATCCTTAATCTGGGTGGGCACCATCTAATCAGCTGCCAGCACAGCTAGAATATAAAGTAGGCAGAAAAATGTAAAAAGAATAGACTGGCCTAGGCTCCCAGCCTACATCTTTCTCCGGTGCTGGACCCTTCCCACCCTCAAACATCAACAAACATCAGACTCCAGGTTCTTCAGTTTTGGGACTCGGACTGGCTCTCCTTGCTACTCAGCTTCCAGACGGTCGGTCTATTGTGGAGCCTTGTGAGCATGTGAGTTAATACTTAATAAACTTCCCTTTATAAAATATTTTATATATATATATATATCTCCTATTAGTCTCTCTAGAGAACCCTGACTAATATAGTGGCAGTGCTGGGCTAGGGACCCAGACGGTCTCACTCCCCAGCCTCACTTAGCAAATTGCTGTATCCCACTGTCTTCACCAGGCCAGGGGACTGCAGGCGCCACACCATCTCCACCAGCCCAGGGCATTGCAACCCTGGTGCCTGGTGCTGCCTCCTTTGCAGGCTGGAAATTTGAACTGAGCCTTTTTCCAGACTTGCAGGCTCAGAGTCTGGGATGCTGAATCATGCTCAGTTTCAAGAGACTGACGTATAAGCCACAGTGTGGACATAAGCATTAGCCTCACCTGCATGTTGCCTCCCAGAAGCTACCTGGCAACATGCATTGTCAGAAGGTTGCCTCGTGAGTATAGAAACAGAGTAGAGGGAATGAGTTCTACGACTGAACTGTTTAATGACCTCAGCATCCTATGTCCTGATATTGTGCCTGTGGAGGATAACATTTTTATTTTATTTTTAAAGACAAGGTCTTGGTCTGTTGCCTACGCTGGAGTGCAGTGGTGCAATCATGGCTCACTGCAGCGTCGAACTACTGGGTTCAAACAATCCTTCCACCTCAGCCTCTTGAGTAGCTGAGACTACAGGTGTGTACCACTACTCCTGGCTCATTTTAATTTTGATTTTAATTTTGTAGAGACAGGGTCTGCCTATGTCGCTCAGGTTGGTCTCAAACTCCAGTGATCCTCCTGCCTCGCCCTCCCAAAATGCTGGGATTACAGGCATGAGCCACCTCACCCATGACACATTTTTTTTTTCTGTATCTGACACCAAGAGTTTGTTGGTCTGAGAGATCAGGTCAGACCCTCTGGACAGAATCTCCCTGACTGATTGGTTTCTTCAGCCTGGCCCATTCTTTCTCTAGATTTATTAATGATCCAATGAAATGCCTGTCGATCTAGTTGCCCTGGAAATAATGCCTGTGTTTGAGATGACATTTCATATCCTTCCACTCTGATTCATCATTCAATCATTTACAAATACGAATACTTCTATCTACAACAAATGGAGGATATAGCAGAGAGACATTTCAGTGGAAGAGATATAGATAATTAATATGTAAATGAGTGAAAAAATGAGATTACTTCAGATGGTGATAAATAGTATGAAAAATTTCCAGCAGGGTAATGAGACTGAGTATTGAGATGGAGGATGGCGTGGGGCTGTAGAAAGGGGGGTCTGGAGATGTCTCTCTGAGGATGTAGAATCTGAACTGAGCCCTGCATGTGACGAAGGAGCTAGTCATGATCTTAAAAGTTTTGTTCTCCGCTGGGTGTGGTGGCTCACACCTGTAATCCCAGCGCTTTGGGAGGCTGAGGTGGGCGGATCACCTGAGGTCGGGAGTTTGAGACCAGCCTGGCCAACATGGAGAAACCCTGTCTCTACTAAAAATACAAAATTAGCTAGGTGTGGTGGCACATGCCTGTAATCCCAGCTACTCAGGAAGCTGAGGCAGGAGAATTGCTTGAACCCGGGAGGTGGAGGTTGCAGTGAGCCGAGATTGTGCCATTGCACTCCAACCTGGGCAACAGGAGCGAAATTCCATCTCAAAAAAGAGTTTCGTTCTCAGAGGAAACAACTTCACGCCTATCACGTGAAGTGGAAGTTCATTGCTTGTCTCCAGAGAGACAATGGTATAAATTAGGCAGGTATGGTTGCAGTAGTGTTGCTGGTATTGGCGATAAAGTACATGGCGATGAAATGGTCATGTGGCTGTGCTTTCCAACAAAAATTCCGAACACATCGTCTTACATGTAGCATGAGGACTGAAAATATCTGAAATCAGGGTTGTCTTGGACTTTCCAAGGCACATGATTACCATAATTAACAGGCTACAGAGGGCTGGCCTGGGCCTGACTCTGCACTCCACACTGTTGCTGTGGAAACTGTTCCCAGTTTCTGAAAAGCCAAATAACAGGCGAACTTTTGGAATAAAATCACTTGCCTTTTTGAACCATATTTCTTTTCTCCAACAATGTTACATGTTCTTTCCTCAGCAAAAAGTCTGACTTTTACACATTTTTGAATCCCTCAAAACATTTAGCAGAGAGCTGGACATACAGAAGACAGCAGGGTCCCATGGCTTTGCCTGAAACGCAGAACCCGGTCTTGATCTTTTTTATTTTTTTTCGAGACGGAGTCTTGCTCTGCCGCCCAGGCTGGAGTGCAGTGGCGGGATCTCAGCTCACTGCAAGCTCCGCCTCCTGGGTTCAGGCCATTCTCCTGGCTCAGCCTCCCGGGTAGCTGGGACTACAGGCGCCCGCCGCCTCGCCCGGCTAGTTTTTATTTTTGTATTTTTTTTTTAGTAGAGACGGGGTTTCACCGTGTTAGCCAGGATGGTCTCGATCTCCTGACCTCGTGATCCGCCCGTCTCGGCCTCCCAAAGTGCTGGGATTACAGGCTTGAGCCACCGCGCCCGGCCCGGTCTTGACTTTTGAGTAACCGAGCTCTCCTGGTGCCCACACTCTGGCCGAGAGTGCCAAGCGGCGTTCTCCCTCCCGCCGCACGGGGGCACTATGGAAAGCCTGCGCAGTGAGGAAGAGCGGCTGGAGCCTGTCTTGCGCCGGGGAGGTCGACGCTCCCAGAATGCACCTGGCATCAACACGGCGGCGGCGGCGGTTTCCAGCAGGCTGCGGGGCGCTGTGCAGACAGGAACGCAGCCGGGGGCTCTGAGGCTTGGTCCAGGTGTTGAGGGGCGACTGGAGCCATGGCGGAGTCGGCGCCTGCTCGGGTAAGAGGCCCCGGCGCGCGGGCTCGAGGGCGCGTTGGGGATGGCGGAGTCCCCTGCCCGGGGCGGGGCTTCGCGGTTTGGACGCCGCCGGGGTCTTGGTTTCCCGGGGCTGCAACTGGCGCGGGTGAACGGGAACCCTCCTACTCGCGACCCCAGTGCTCTGCCCTTTTTTCCCTCTGCTTCCTTCTGCAGCGGGGTCGGAGCCTTGGCGCCGTGCGCCCTTGCCTAGAAACTTCTCCGAAGGTTGTTTTAGGTTGGTGGATGTGTGACCCTGCCCACACATTTTCTCTTTCGTGCCAAAAGAGCCCGTTCCCGGGTTGGAGCGGAGACGCAGGATGGAAACGGTCTCCGTCGCTACGAGTGAGCTCTCCCACTGCCCCGGAGACCCCAGGACTTGCCTGTCTGCGACCACCTCCTCCTTGGTCCTGTGTGTTGCCCGTTTCTCCCGTGCTGCAGATTTCTGTCTTGGGGTTGCAGCCACAGGTTGAAGTCAGCCTGGGCTGCTGCTTCTTGGGGACAGGTGTTATCTACAGTGTAGTTGCTGCATTTTGTATTTTGTTTGTAGAGCTGTCCAAACTCTCTCCTTCACCGTCCCCCCGCCCCCCATCGACCATCCCCATTCTGGGAATGTCAAGATACGGAGCTTGGTGTGAGGAAAATCCTATTTGTGTGGAGTCACGAAACGAGTTCAGCCGTAACTTAGCTCTCAGCTATCCATTTGGGTGATTTTAGGCAACTGTGTTCGCCTCTCTGGGTCTCTTTCGTTTTCTTAACTGTAAATCGAGAGTGTAGGAGTAGTTGCTAGATAATCTCTAAGGCTCTAAGGTTCCTTCCAGCTCCGACATTCTCATACTATTCCAAAGTAGTGGTTAATTTAACAACACTGGAGGGTTTGCAACGGAAAGGGCAGCTGGAATTGAATTGATTTTTAATGAAGTGTTCCTTGGTCCAGAAACACTTTGAGAATCATGTTAGATCTTTGTGAGAATGGAGGGCTAAGGAGATTCTGTGGGAAAATTTGACCATGAGCAGGGTGCACTATATTTGATTCTTGTAGAAAGTGCGTTAAGAGCTAAGAAGGGAGGGATTGGAAGACTTAGAGAACACAGTATTTGCTTTCAAGGAAGTTAACAGTTGAATTGGGAAGACAAGACACAAATGTTTACATTATTAACCTCATCTGACTTCTGTAAGCTAGGCTGAGCCAGTCAAAGACGGCTTTTCCACAAGATCTAGTTAGTGTTTGAGTCCGGCAAGAGGACTCTGCCACAGTTCTTCCTGCCAGGTCACTCCACAGTTACTTACATGTCATCAGTAGACCTTGTTAGGAAGAAGCCTTAAAGAAACCACAGGCCAGGCACAGTGGCTCACGCCTGTAATCCCAGCACTTCGGGAGGCCGAGGCAGGAGGATCACGAGGTCAGGAGTTCAAGACCAGCCTGGCCAATAGGGTGAAACCCCATCTGTACTAAAAATACAAAAATTAGCCAGGCGTGGTGGTGCGTGCCAGTGGACCCAGCTACTTGGGAGGCTGAGGCAGAAGAATCGCTTGAACCCGGGAGGCGTGGAGGTTGCAGTGAGCTGAGATCGTGCTACTGCACTGCAACCTGGGTAACAGAGCGAGACTCCGTCTCAAAAAAAAAAAAGGCCGGGAGCAGTGGCTCACGCCTGTAATCCCAGCACTTTGGGAGGCCGAGGCGGGTAGATCACGAGGTCAGGAGATCGAGACCATCCTGGCTCACATGGTGAAACCCCGTCTCCACTAAAAACACAAAAAATTAGCCGGGCGTGGTGGCGGGCGCCTGTAGTCCCAGCTACTCGGAGGCTGAGGCACGAGAATGGCGTGAACCAGGGGAGCGGAGCTTGCAGTGAGCCGAGATCGCGCCACTGCATTCCAGCCTGGGTGACAGAGGGAGACTCTGTCTCCAAAAAAAAAAAATAAATAAAAAAATAAAAATTCCACCACAATCCCAAACTATGCCTTAAATAACGTTAATTTGTCGTTGTAGAACTTATTCAAATTGTTCTTGAGCCTGTTTCTCTTCTCAGACATCTCTTCAGGTGAGGATTCTATGTCTGTCGTTTGACAGACCAATTATAGGTGCCCTGGTGAAACAACTAAAAATGCTGGAAAACCCTGCACATAAATGCATTTGAAATGTATTTTAGTAAAGAATACTTGGAGCCCCAAAACTTAAGCGAAAGAGGGAAATGGAAAGTGATTAAGAGTTCTGAAGCCAACTTTGAGGGCATTGGCTGAACATCATCTTTGGTGTTTATGATTCAAGAGACCTGCAAAATAGAACACAAATCTCAGAGCCTAAGATGGAAAGTCTGAGACGCTCCCTAACCCAGTCCCATGAAACAGAGACTTCAAAGGGCAACATTCTGTGTAAGGGTGAACTGAAAGTAAGGTCTGACCTTTAGATGATTGCAAAGAAAATTGTTAAACCTTGGCACTGAGATTACAGGCGTGAGCCACCATGCCCGGCCATAGTTTCTTTTCTTATCTTTTTTTCTTTTTCTTTTTTTTATTTGAGAGAGTCTTACTCTCTCGCTCTGGCTGGCGTGCAGTGGAGCAATCTCAGCTCCCTGAAACCTCTGCCTCCCAGGTTCTAAGCGATTTTCCTGCCTCAGCCTCCAGAGTAGCTGGGATTACGGCAGGCGTCACCATGCCTGGCTAATTTTGTATTTTTATAGAGATGGGATTTCACCATGTTGGCCAGGCTGGTCTCTGAACTCCTGACTTCAGGTGATCCACCTGCCTCAGCCTCCCAAAGTGCTGGGATTACAGGCATGAGCCACTGCACCCAGCCTAAGGCAGAGGGATTTCTTAAAAGCAACCAAAAAAAAAAAAAAACTACCTTGAAATGAAGTACAGCAAAATTAATGGGGGCCAGCTTCTCAACAGCAACCATGGAAGCCAGACAACAGGAAAATGATGTTGTCAGTAGGCTGAAAGAAAATAACTATAATCCCATAGTTTTTTTGTTTTTTTTGTTTTGTTTTTTTTGTTGAGACAGAGTCTCGCTTTGTCGCCCAGACTGGAGTGCAGTGGCCGGATCTCAGCTCACTGCAAGCTCCGCCTCCCGGGTTCACGCCATTCTCCTGCCTCAGCCTCCTGAGTAGCTGGGACTACAGACGCCCGCCACCTCGCCCGGCTAGGTTTTTGTATTTCTTGGTAGAGACGGGGTTTCACCGTGTTAGCCAGGATGGTCTCTATCTCCTGACCCCGTGATCCGCCCGTCTCGGCCTCCCAAAGTGCTGGGATTACAGGCTTGAGCCACCGAATCCCATAGTTTTATATGCAGCAAAAATATGTTTCAGAAACAAAGATATAATGAAGACATTTTCAGACAAATTAAAAATGACAATTTGCGTGGCCGGGCGCGGTGGCTCACTCCTGTAATCCCAGCACTTTGGGAGGCCGAGGCGGGCGGATCACAAGGTCAGGAGATCGAGACCACGGTGAAACCCCGTCTCTACAAAAAAAAAAATACAAAAAAATTAGCCGGGCGCGGTGGCGGGTGCCTGTAGTCCCAGCTACTTGGGAGGCTGAGGCAGGAGAATGGCAGGAACCCGGGAGGCGGAGCTTGCAGTGAGCCGAGATCGCGCCACTGCACTCCAGCCTGGGCAACAGAGAGAGACTCTGTCTCAAAAAAAAAAAAAAAAAAAAAATGACAATTTGCTACCAATACACTCTTAGTAAATTCTAAAATACATACCTCAGGTAAAATGAAAATTATCCCAAATAGAAAGTCTGAAAATGTAAGAAGATGTGATGATGCATGGAAATGGTTAAACCTAAACAAATAGTGACTTAATAAAACAGTAACAGTTTCTTGTTGTGTTAAAAACAATTAAAATACATGATGGCATTGGTGTAAATATGAGGAAGAGATGATCAGAATTAAACTGTTTAAAGGGCTTTGTTAAAGGGCCTTCTATGTATATTTCCCATAATTTCTAGGATACTTGCTAAGCAACTAGAAATTGGTTGTATAATTTACAGATTAGAAAGGGGGATAATAGAATAAGAAAAAATTAAAAGAAGACAAGAAAATAGAGAAGAAAGATGGGATACACAGCACAAAAAAGATAAATAAAAACTAATGAACAATTACAACAAATGTAAATGAATGAAATGTTCAAGTTAAAAGGCATAGATTGTCAGGATGGGGGAAAAACCCAACTAGATGGTTTAAAAGAGATACAACTGGCTGGGCATGGTGGCTCACGTCTGTAATCCCAGCACTTTGGGAGGCCAAGGTGGGTGGATCATGAGGTCAGGAGATTGAGACCATCCTGGTTAACACAGTGAAATCTCGTCTCTACTAAAAATACAAAAATTAGCCGGGCGTGGTGGTGGGTGCCTGTAGTCTCAGCTTCTCGGGAGACTGAGGCAGGAGAATGGCATGAACCCAGGAGGCGGAGGTTGCTGAGGCAGGAGAATCACTTGAACCTGGGAGGTGAAGGTTGCAGTGAGCTGAGATAGCGCCACTGCTCTCCAGCCTGGGCGACAGCGAGACTCCATCTCAAAAAAAAAAAAAAAAAAAAGACTGATTATAAAGGGATATGAGGGGACTTTCTTGGATGATGGAAATATTTATATAATATTCTCCTGCTTTGACATTCTAATAGGCTACAATCCCTAGCCCTTGGCAGCCACTGATCTGATTTCTATCCTTATAGTTTGCTTTTTTCCAAACATGTAAATGAAACACAAATGTAGCCTTTTGTGTCTGAATTCTTTTTTTTTTTTTTTTTTTTTTGGAGTTTTGCTCTTGTTGCCCAGGCTGGAGTGCAATGGTGCGATCTCGACTCACCGTAACCTCCACCTCCCAGGTTCAAGTGATTCTCCTGCCTCAGCCTCCCAAGAAGCTGGGATTACAGGCATGCGCCACCCTGCCTGGGTCATTTTGTATTTTTAGTAGACATAGGGTTTCTCCATGTTGGTCAGGCTGGTCTCAAACTTCCAACCTCAGGTGATCCGGCCGCTTCGGCCTCCCAAAGTGTTGGGATTATAGGTGTGAGCCACGGTGCCCGGCCCTTTTTTTTTTTTTTTTTTTTAAGGTGGTCTCCCTCTGCCACTCAGGCTGCAGTGTAATAGTGCAATCATGGTTCACTGCAACCTTGAACTCCAGGGCTCAAGTGATCCTCCCATCCTCAGCCTCCCAAGTAGCTGGGAGTACAGGCACATGCCACCACGCCTGGTCATTTTAAAAAATTTGTGGAGGTGGGGTCTCACTTTATTGCCCAGGCTGATCTCGAATTCCTGGGCTCAAGTGATCTACCTCAGCCTCCCAAAGTGTTGGGATTGTAGGTATGAGCCACCATGCCTGACCTGTGTCTGATTCCCATCACTTAGCATGTTGTAACACATGTCAGTGATTTTGGTTCCTTTTTATTACATAGTAGTAGACTTAGTAGTCGAAGTGGTAGTCTACTACTAAGTAGCAGGCTTAGTAGTCTACTAAGCTATATAGGAAAAATACACTAAATATCTAATACGGTATATAATGAAGTGTCTTATATAGTGTATTTGTTTCCTAGGGCTGGTATAACAAACTGGGAAGCTTAAATAACAGAAATGTATTGTCTCACAGTTCTGGAGGTTAGGAGTCTGAAATCAAGATGTTTGCAGGGTTGGTTCCTTAAGAGGTTTGTGTTTCTCTCCTGGCTTCTGGTGGTCCCATGTGTTTTCTTGGTTTGTGGCAGCATAACTCCAGTCTCTGCCTTAATCTTGACATGGCCCATTATGTATTGGTGTAACAGAATACATGAAGTTAGGTAATTCATGAAGAAAAGAGGTTTAGTTGGCTCATAATTCTGGTGGCTGGAAAGTTCAAGACTGGGCAGCTGGGCCTCAAGCTGCTTAAACTCATGGCAGAAAGTGGAAGGGCAGCAGGTGTGTGTAGAGATCACATGGTGACAGAGGAGGCAAGAGAGAGACCGAAGAAGTCAGACTGTTTAATAGCCCACTCTAGTGGGAACTAATCCGTCCCTGCCAATGACAACTCACCCCTGTGGGAGCGCATTAATTTATTTATGAGGGATATGCCCTCATGATCCAAACACCTCCCACGAGACTTCACCTCCCAACACTGCCACATTGGGAATAAAATTTCAGCATGGGTTTTGGTGAGGCCAAACCATAGTAGACATCTCCCTGTGTGTGTGTCTCTCTGTGTCTAAAGGTCCTCTGTTTTAGGGACATCAGTCATTGGATTAAGGCCCATCCTAATGACCTCATTTTAACCTGATTACCCTTGGAAATACCTTATTTCCAAGTAAGATCACATCCTGAGGTGCTGAGGATTAGGGCTTTACTATATTATTTTGAGGAGACACAGTTCAACCCATGACATTGGATGGATCACAATTTTTTCATCCATTCACTGGTTCGTGAACATGTGAATTGTTCCCATCATGTTAGATAATTCAAAACAGAAGACAAGAAGAAACTTAGTTTAATCATTCTTTTCAACCTCTTACTATGTGGAAGAGGAGGGGGCGTATTCCTTTGCACAGATTGTCACCTATGTTCCTGTCTGGAAAACGTGCTACTAAGCACAGAATGCTGGGCCACAGAAAGAGGAGACTCATAGACTTAAAGTAGAAGCAAAACAAACATGATGGCATGTATATATCTAGTTTAATATTTTGTTTTGTTTCACTTGTATTTGTTTTTACATTGAACTTTTCTTTTAATCTTTTGCGGGAGGATGTATTTAAGCTTTTGTCTCATGTGTTCCATGATGAATTAACTGACTTGAGTAACTAGAGTAGGTCATGGCCAAACTTAAATGTTCAGTTCTGCACCAGTCAGTTTCCTTTTGTCCCATGTTCTCTGGACCACGACCCCTGGCTCCAGCAGTTCTTTCCGAGATACTTCCTCTCAGTGTCTTGGTCTTGGTGGCCTCACTGTGGTTTGAAAAGCAGCCATGAAAGAACGTGAAGTTTGCAGAGGGAGTTAGGACTGAAGCGAACGTGCAGGGAGACAGTAGAGGGACAGCTTGGGGAAAACTTCCCGAATGTTGATTTCAGTAATTTTAGCTTCTACGACAGCGATTTTCCTACTGTCAGAGACAGCTCATTAAAGTGAAAATTATAGGGAAAATGTCAGTAGACTTAGTCACATCATTTCAGTAAATATTTTTTAAGGATTTATTCACCATCCCAGCTGCTAGAGTGCAAAGATGAATGGATTAGATCTCGTAGGTCCTGCTAAGGAATTTTGTCTTTATTGTGGGGAGCCATTGAAAGTTTTCAAACAGGGGTGACATGATCAACTATGAAGTCTGGCAGGGATGTGGAGGCAAGATAAGATGTAAATGACATCTTTTATCATATAGTCCAAAACGTTAAATAAAAATAGGTTTAAAATGAACACCGATACAGGAGTCTCAGAGAATATGCTAAGCGTAAAACATAGGTAACAAAACATGCACACTGTAATTTCACTTTTGTTGAAAAAAATAAAAGATGAAAAAAAGCCTACAGGAAATACACCAAAATTCAAACAGCTTCCTTCCCTCCCTTTCTCCCTCCCTTCTTTCCTTCCTGTTTTGAGACAGGGTCTCACTCTGTTACTCAGGCTGGAGTGCAGTGGCACGATCTTGGCTCACTGTAGCCTCAACCTCTTGGGCTCAAGCCATCCTCCCACCTCAGTGCCCCAAGTACCTGGGACTACAGGCATGCATCACCATGCCTGGCTGATTTTTTTTTTTTTTTTTTGAGACGGAGACTTGCTCTGTTGCCCAGGCTGGAGTGCAGTGGCACGATGTCAGCTCACTGCAAGCTGCAAGCTCTGCCTCCTGAGTTCATGCCATTCTCATGCCTCAGCCTCCCGAGTAGCTGGGACTATAGGCGTCTGCCACCACGCCCGGCTAATTTTTTGTATTTTTAGTAGAGACAAGGTTTCACCTTGTTAGCCGGGATGATCTTGATCTCCTGACCTTGTGATCTGCCTGCCTCGGCCTCCCAGAGTGCTGGGATTACAGGCGTGAGCCACCGCGCACGGCCTGCTCCTGGCTCATGCCCGGCTAATTTTTTGAACTTTTTCTTAGAGACAGGGTTTGCCTTGTTGGCCAGGCTGGTGTCAAACTCCTGAGCTAAAGTGATTCAGCTGCCTTGGCCTCCCAAAGTGTTGGGATTACAGTTGTGAGCCACTGCGGCCAGCCCTAACAGCTTATTTCTGTGTGAGAATATTTTGTATAATATTTTCTTTCTATTCTTCAGCATTTCCCAACATTATTAATGCAATATCTACATATAATTTTTAGTATCAATAAAAGACATGCTTTTTTTTTTTTTTTTTTTTTTTGGGGGGGATGGGGTCTCGCTCTATCATCCAGGCTGGAGTGCAGTGGCGCGATCTCGGTGCACTGCAAACTCTGCCTCCCGGGCTCATGCCATTCTCCTGCCTCAGTCTCCTGAGTAGCTGGGACTACAGGTGCCCGCCACAACGCCCGGCTAATTTTTTTGTATTTTTAGTAGAGATGGGGTTTCACCATGTTAGTGAGGATGGTCTCCATCTGCTGACCTCGTGATCCACCTGCCTCGGCCTCCCAAAATGCTGGGATTACAGGCGAGAGCCACCACGCCTGGCCCAGATGTGCTTTTTTTTTTTTTTTTTTTTTTTTTTTTTAAATTAAAAGAAACTAGGTAACTCTAAGCACTGATAGACTTGAACATTGCTTTCTTTACTTGATGTTTGGAAGTGACATTTTCTGACTCTGTGTCTTTGATCTTTCAGCATCGGAGAAAACGACGCTCCACACCTTTAACTTCTACACTTCCTTCACAAGCAACAGAGAAAAGCTCCTATTTTCAGACCACCGAGATCTCACTCTGGACGGTGGTGGCTGCTATTCAGGCTGTGGAGAAGAAGATGGAGTCCCAGGCTGCCCGGCTACAGAGCCTGGAGGGGCGCACGGGGACAGCTGAGAAGAAGCTGGCTGACTGTGAGAAGATGGCCGTGGAGTTTGGGAACCAGCTAGAGGGCAAGTGGGCCGTGCTGGGGACCCTGCTGCAGGAGTACGGGTTGCTGCAGAGGCGACTGGAGAACGTGGAGAACCTGCTCCGCAACAGGAACTTCTGGATCCTGCGGCTGCCCCCGGGCAGCAAGGGGGAGGCCCCCAAGGTAGTCTCATTGAGGATTAAAAGTTAGAAGAGAAGGGGGAGCCAGCCCTTTAATATGTAAGCACCTCAGTTGCTGGCTTTTCTGTCATAGCTGTGAGTATGTGTGCCATTGGTGATTCCAGGTGTCCAGGTCACTGGAGAATGATGGCGTCTGTTTCACCGAGCAGGAATGGGAGAATCTGGAGGATTGGCAGAAGGAGCTCTACAGAAATGTGATGGAGAGTAACTATGAGACACTGGTCTCTCTGAGTGAGTAGCAGTTTTCTCCCTAGAATTCTGTCTCAGACATACTACAATTCCTGGCCGGTAGCTTGTAATTCAGACTACACCTGTGGCTCTTGTGGCTGTGGGTCCTCTGTTGGCTTCCACGGGTGGAGAAATGCAAGTCTCTAGGTCCTCCCATTTACAGAGACTTTTGGAAAGCTCTCGGCGTTGTGCCTTTCGTGTTTCTTTTCTGTGGTCACATAGTCTGTTCTTGATAGTATTTTCTAATAAATAAAATGTCATATACCCTACAGTGTGATATGGCTAGGGTTCCTCATGTTGTTTTTTGATTTGTTTTATCTTTCTTTTTTTTTTTTTTGAGATAGAGTCTAGCTCTGTTGCCCAGGCTGGAGTGCAGTGGCGCGATCTTGGCTCACTGCCTCCCAGGTTCAAGTGATTCTCCTGCTTCAGCCTCCCAAGTAGCTGAGATTACAGGTGCCCACCACCATGCCCAGTTAATTTTTGTATTTTTGGTAGAAACAGGGTTTTACCGTGTTGGCCAGGCTGCTCTTGAACTCCTGACCTCGTGACCTGCCCGCCTCGGCCCTGCAAAGTGCTGCTATTACAGGTGTAAGCCACTGCGCCAGGCCTGTTTTATCTTTTTTTTTTTTTTTTTTTTTTTGAGACTGTCACCTAGGCTGGAGTGCAGTGGTATGATGTCGGTTCACTGCAACCTTGACAGCTTGGGCTCAAATGATTCTCCCACCTCAGTTTTCCAAGTAGCTGGGATTACAGGCACACGCCACTGCGCCTGGCTAATTTTTAAATTTTATTTAGAAACGTGGGTCTTACTGTATTGCCCAGGTTGGTCTTGAACTCTTGGGCTTAAGTGATCCACCTGCATCGGCCTCCCAAAGGGATTACAGGCGTGAGCCTCCGCATGTGGTCTCCCATGCTGTTTTTAATATTTAAGACTATTTGAGATGGGTATGGTAGCTCACATCTGTAATCCCAACACTGGGAAGCCAAGGTGGGAGGATAGCTTGAGGCTAGGAGTTTGAAACCAGCCTGGGCAACATAGTGAAATCTCTTTTGCTTAAAAGAAAAGAAAAAAGATGATTTGACAACCCTTTGTTACCTTGGATGAGGCAGGCAGCACAGGCTGACCAAAAGCATTTTCTTGGTGTTTGGCCAGAATTATAGCTGGTCATTGTGGTCTCAATGATTTTTGCTTGTTGATTAGAAGTGCTACTTAATAGGTATAAGTCTTTATATGCAAAATGTTACCTATTACATAATAAATGCTTTTTGTTTGGTAGACAAAGTCTTTTAAAACCTAGGTACATGGAGGAGTGTCAAGTGCCTGGAGCAGAGTAAGAGGTAAAGAAAATAGAAAATGGGCCAGAAAAGTGACCTTGTAAGCTTGGTTGGGTCACATGCTCTCATTGGGACTGTTTCCTTGTCTGTCCCAGTGTCCATCTTACCTTGCAGTGCCTTAGCAAGGATGAAATTAGATCCCCCAAAAGGAAGCATTGGCAAGACTTAAACTGCACACACGGAGAGGCAGAGGTGGGTGGTGGTGCCATCAGGGGCAGTGGTAGCTCTGTAACCTGCCTGCCTGAGCCACAGGCCCTCTAATGGAGGAGCACTGGAGGCAGCAGCTAGCCAAGTCAGTTGTTAGGATTGGCCAGAATTTTATAATTGTCCCAAACTGCTAGGGGAGACTGACACGAGCAGTAGCCTTTGAATCTGTTGAAGCTTTAGTATTTTCTCCCTGCCATTGGTCACCTTGGTCATTGGCAGCTGATCAGTGTGCAGTGAGCTTTTGCTCTCTCCTGGACTCACACCGTGCTGTTTCCCCACCCAGAGGTCCTTGGCCAGACAGAGGGAGAAGCGGAGTTGGGTACAGAGATGCTGGGTGACTTGGAAGAGGAAGGTCCTGGTGGTGCCCACCCAGGTGAGTGGCTCTGGAATATTCTGTTCCCTTCCATAGCCCTCTGCAGCCTAGAGTGAGCTTTCCCATGGCTGACCTGCCAGGTGCTGACTTGGTAAACTCATCTGGCTTTGCTTGTTCTGGACTCCTTTATGATTGTTGTTAGTTCAGCTGTTACATGTGCCTCAACTCCTACCATCCTATGGGGTCTTTAAGACTAACGGCCACATCAATCACTCTTCTTCATGCCCTACAGAATAGAGTACCATACTAGGCGGTAGTCAAAACCTGCCGGAGATTGAGTGTGGGCATGTCAGAGCTTCAGGAGGGAAGGCAGTGCAGGAAAAGCACTTGTCACTAGGTAATTTGGGAGGTTATGGAGGAAGAACAGAGCTGGACATGAATTTTTAAGCTGTAGGTTTAGTTTGTCTTTAATCCTTCAGATGTGTTATTTTAACACTCTTAATTTAGTATAGTTGTTACAGTGTATTCTGTCATTTTTCCCAGAGATTAAATATAAATTTGTAGACAAGCTTGGAGAACTATAGTTTACAGTATTTTATAAGAGTAATGCATTGATATTTCCAGTCAACATTGGAAAAACTATACATGAATAGTTTTATACAAGTCTTGGAACCTAGCCAGTGTCATCCTCCTCCATGTTGTCCTAATTCACTTATTTCTGGGGTGCTTCTGAAATTGACAGATGTTTGGTCCTGAAGAAACCAAAGGTACTAGAATGTGATCTTTTTTGTTGGTCTTCTTCCACTTTGCAGCAGGTGGGGTCATGATCAAACAGGAGCTACAGTATACACAGGAAGGCCCTGCGGATCTTCCTGGAGAGTTCTCATGCATTGCTGAAGAGCAGGCTTTCCTGAGCCCGGAGCAGACTGAGCTCTGGGGTGGTCAGGGCAGTTCTGTCCTCCTGGAAACAGGTCCCGGGGACTCGACTCTACAGGAGCCTGTTGGTAGTAGAGATCCTAGCAGCAGCAGAACTGTGGGCTGCCCGAAGCAGAAATCTCATAGGCAGGTACAGCTGGGCCAGGAATGTGGGCAGGGCCTGAAGCTGAAAAAGGACACTTCCCGCCCCTACGAATGTTCTGAGTGTGAGATCACCTTCCGCTATAAGCAGCAGCTGGCCACACATCTGAGCAGCCACTCGGGGTGGGAGTCTTGTACACCTGAGGAGCCAGAGGAGAGCCTTAGGCCCAGGCCACGGCTGAAACCGCAGACCAAAAAGGCCAAGCGACATCAGTGTGATGTGTGCCTGAGGAGCTTCAGCTGCAAGGTGAGCCTGGTGACCCATCAGCGTTGCCACCTGCAGGAGGGGCCCAGTGCCGGCCAACATGTCCAGGAGAGGTTCTCACCCAACAGCCTGGTTGCCCTGCCTGGCCACATCCCTTGGAGGAAAAGCCGGAGTTCCCTCATCTGTGGTTACTGTGGCAAGAGCTTCAGTCACCCATCTGACTTGGTGCGGCACCAGCGCATCCACACGGGTGAGCGGCCCTACAGCTGCACCGAGTGTGAGAAGAGCTTTGTCCAGAAGCAGCACCTCCTGCAGCACCAGAAGATCCACCAGCGGGAGCGGGGCGGGCTGGCCCTGGAGCCCGGAAGGCCCAATGGCCTGCTTTAAGGGTGCAGCCCCTCGCCCGTCTGGGGGGCGGAGGGGGGTGGCATTGGTTCCCCCAAAGAGACACTGCAGTCAGGGACTGAGTTCTTCCTGAGGGCAGTTGTTTCTGATTTGCCTTCCCTTGTCCCAGTACCAAGCCAAGCCCAAAGGCTGTCCTGAAAACCCCGTGGAAGAAGAGTCCAGGCCAGGTCTTTACCCTGCTGCCAAGTTTGCTGTTTCTTGGCACCTTCAGGTCTCTGGTTTTCTCATTCATGCCAGTGCTTGTGGGCTGGGGTTGGCGTTCTGACCCCACAGGGACTGGTGGCTGGTTCCAGGGCTCGTCCTGGCATTTCATGTCTTCCCACGGGGTTGAGTTGGGCCACAGGGGTGAGCAGCTGCCTAGAAGAGTTCTGGGAAGTGTAACCCTCCTTTTTTTCTTGTTTTGTAATCTCTTTGTTTAATAACAAGTAGAACAAATAATTTAAATGAACTGCTTAACCCTACTCTGAAGAACCTTTTTTGGAATTAGATTTTAGTTAATTTTTTAAAGAATACAGCCCAACGCTTTTTTTTTACATTTTAAGAGTTGTAGAAGTTGTTCCTCACTTGGGGACTGGACCTGCCCTCTAGGAGGGAATTGTTAATGGGGCTCTTTTAGCCCACTGACGCTTACTTAGGCCAGAGAGCAGGGGACACGGTGCTAGGTTCCCTCGTGTGGTGCTTGGTGCTCTCAAATTGTCTGAAAAGGACCAAGAGGAAAAGAGTCGGAGGGGTAGACCCTGCAGCCCCTGTTGAGAAGAAAGATTCCAGTGAAGTTGCTGATGGTATGGCTGTGGTCTGGGACTTACGGTGTCTCAGCATACCCCATCCTCTTCCCACCTCCTCCTGGCTGTGTTCTGCAGCCTCCCAGAGTAGAAAACAACTTTGTTACTTAAGGTTGTTCACCTTGTACTAGTGGTTATTTGAGTTTGTTCCTATTACATCAATCCTTACTTGAGGTGGTTCAGATTACAGTTTCCAAATGCATTCTGAGATTGCCTATTCCAGAGAGGGTAGAGAAAAAGCACACAGATGCTTGTCTCAGGAGTGTTGAATGTGTGCCCCGCTGCTGTCTGGGGGGATGGGAGTGGGCTCTGGGGTCATATGTGAACATCCCCTTGGATGATTTGCAGTTACCTAGAATAAAACTTGCTACTAGCAAAAAAAAAAAAAAAAAAAAAAAAAAAGTTCATACTGGATGTTTTTCTCCATCTGTCAGAACACTCTCCTGGGGCCAAGGTGGAGGAGAGGCACCTGACCTGGAGTGATGGCAGGGAAGGACTGATGGCACAGCCTGACCTGCACTTTCACTTAAACCTAGGACAGAAAACAAGATATGGCATGGGTGAGAATATTCAGGGGACCTGGAGACAGTCTGGGTGATGGCTTTTGGGAGGTAGAAAGAGTAGGTGAAATGTGGGTACCCCAGGGAGTGGCAGGCAGCTGTTACGAGCATTGGCTTAGATATATGCCTAGCCATCTGGATCCATCTTAAACACAACGCTGAGGGGAGAAGATAAGAAATTGAGATCTACAATATAACACCATTTATATAAATAAAAAATGCATGCACACAATACATTTTGTAAGAACACTTAGGACCAACGGAGACACGTTAAAGACATTACAGTTTTCCATGGGGAGAGTGAACAAATAGATAGAAGGAAACTTGGGTTACTATAAGGCAGAGGTCCCCAAACTTTTTGGCACCAGGACTGGTTTCATAGAAGACAGTTTTTCCACAGACAGTGGTGGGAGATGGGATGGTTCTGGAATGAAACCGTTCCACCTGAGATCATCAGGCATTAGATTCTCATAAGGAGCGCACAACCTAGATCCCTCTCATGCGCAGTTCACAATAGGGTTCATTCTAAGAATTTAATGCAGCCACTGATCTGACAGGAGGCAGAGCTCACTTGCTGTGTGGTCTGGTTCCTAACAGGCCATGGACCAGTATTGATCCACAACCCAGGGGTTGGGGCCCCCTGCTATAAGGTACAGGATTGTCTTACTACAGAAACTGAACATGGTGGGAGTCCTTGTAGGGCTGGCACCGTGCGAGGTGGGTAGTAGCTTCATCAGGAAAACCTTTGGAGTTTCTTTCCTAAGTTTCTTCTGCAGTCTTTTCTTACCCTCAAGCCTTTGCCTTATAGATACCCCCTCTGTCCTGTCCTTAGTTACTCTTACTTCCCAATTGTTGAGCATTCTAATGTGACCAGCCTTAGGCCTTGCATTGTGGGGAAAAGTGAAGCACAGAATATGGTCCTACTTCTCCAATAAAGTTAAGTTTTCCTTGAGGCTGGGAAATAATTGTATCAAGAAATTGGACTCCTGCTGACACTTGTTGAATACTTGTGTGCTAGGCACTATTTATTTCCATGAAAACAAGTCCTCATAGTTGTGGGTGGTGAGTATGATTTTACCTAATTTTCCATATGAGATGTGGGAGGAGGCCTGAGAAGTGAAGTAAGATGGCAGAGGTGATGGAAACCCAGACCATCTTGCTTCAGAGCTGCACACTTGGCTGTGGGGTGGTATTGCTTCTGTAGTTAAGAACTCAGTGTCAAAGCTGGATTCTATGTCCTGAAGTGTGGGCTCTCAGCTGGTGGCAGCAGCAGCAGTAGCATCCCCTAGGAGTGTGAAATGGTGCAGACTCAGGCTCCACCTAGGCCCCCGAATCAGAATCTGCATCTCAACAAGCTCTCCAGGTGGTTCTGTGCATGCAGAGGCACTGTCTTAGGGGATAGGAAGGACTCGCCTCTTCTTGCCTGCTTCTGCCATCCTTCATTGAAAGCCTGTTCTGCCAGGTGCTGAGGAGAAAACAGGAAATGGACTGTCAGAAGGACAGGGATGATGAAGTTAGATTGAAGTCAACAGGGAAGAATTAAATGCCAAATGTTAGTGACTCATCTCTCCTGCCTTTTCTACCCTTCTTGTTCCCAAAGTTAAGGTCCTAGTCATCATTCACCTGAGCTTTTCAGTAACCAGTAGGTCTTCTGCTCTTAGTCACATCCGTTTTGATTCCAGAGTTAATGTCCTTGCACACAACTGGATGTAGACTTTCCTCAAAACCTTGCAATGGCTTTCAGCAGCTACTGATAATGAGCAGTCTTTTTAGTATAGAACTCAAGACTCTGACAACCTGCATCACCCTGCATTTTTTTCTCTTTTCACTCTATGCTGCTGCCACATTGGGCTTCCTGTCATTCATTCATTCATTCATTTATTTAAAAAAATTTTTTTTGAGACAGGGTCTCTGTTGCCCAGGCTGAGTGTGCCATCACAGCTCACTGCAGCCTTGACCTCTTGGGCTCAATGGATCCTTCCATCACAGCCTCCCGAGTAGTGGGGACTACAGGTGTGTACCAACCACACCCAGCTGATTTTTGTACCTTTTGTAGAGACAGGGTCCCACTATATTGCCCAGGCTGGTATCGAACTCCTAGGCTCAAGCGATCCTCCTGCCTCAGCCTTCCAAAGTGCTGGGATTACAGCTGTGAACCACCATGTCTGGCTTCCTGTCTTACTGAATAAGCCGTGCTCTTTCCCTCTCTGCAGTGTCATCCTCTGAACTGAACACTATTTTTCACTGTTCTGGTTTATAAGCCCCTTCTGTGAAAGCTTCCCTCATCCATTTCTTTCATTGACCAAATACATATTGAGCCCCTGTTATCTAGGCACTGTTTTAAATACACATCAATGAACAAAATGAACATCTTTGCCCTTATTGAGTTTATGTTCTTTCAAAATCAGTTTTCTTCCTTTACTGCGCCTTTGCCCAGCCCTTTCCTAGGTGAGGACAGTATTCTGTTCTGCCTTAGAGTTCTGCTCACCCACAAACGTCTGAGTATCCTCCCTGTGCAGAACTCTACAGAGGGGTACAAGGATAAATCTCGCTCTTGGACTTACAGGCTGCTAAGGGGATATAAGAGAATAGTAATGTCTTCAGATAAGTGAGGGTAAAAGGCTGTAAGCATTCAGAGAACAATCATTTTAGATATGAGACATTGGGTAGACTTTGCCATAGGTGGTATTTGAACTGGCCTTTTAAGGATGGCAGGAAGGACATTCTAAATGGAGGTGACATGACCAAGTGAGGAGACATTATGGGGCATGTACAGAAGAGGAGTTCATCCAATTTGGGGAGGGTGGAGTGTGAGAAGGAGAGTAGTGGGTGTTACAGTTGGGTCAGGCTTCAAGGAGTCTGGATTTTTATTCAGTTGGTAATGGGGAGCTGAAGCATTTTGAGCAAAAGAGTGACCCGATTCTAGCTGTGATTTGGGAATACTAGTAAGAATTAGCTGGGCGCGGTGGCTCACGCCTGTAATCCCAGCACTTTGGGAGGCCGAGACGGGTGGATCACAAGGTCAGGAGATCGAGACCACCCTGGCTAACACGGTGAAACCCCGTCTCTACTAAAAATACAAAAATTAGCCAGGCACGGTGGCGGGCCCCTGTAATCCCAGCTACATGGGAGGCTGAGGCAGGAGAATGACGTGAACCCGGGAGGTGGAGCTTGCAGTGAGTGGAGATCGCACAATTGCACTGCAGCCTGGGCGACAGAGCGAGACTCCGTCTCAAAAAAAAAAAAAAAAATTATACTGTGCTTTTTGGGGGTTGGGGTGGGGTGTGGGATATGCTAGGTTTCGAATGAGACCAAGGAAGAGTCAGTGAGGACTTACCTGATTGGGTGCAGCTGCAAGGGAAGGGAGCAATAGGTAAGACCAAGACACAGTCACAGGATGTGACGCTGTGGGGAAGAAGGGACCATGTCTTTTTTTTTTTTTTTTTTTTGAGACGGAGTCTTGCTCTGTCACCCAGGCTGGAGTGCAGTGGCCGGATCTCAGCTCACTGCAAGGTCCACCTCCTGGGTTCAGGCCATTCTCCTGCCTCAGCCTCCCAAGTAGCAGTAGCTGGGACTACAGGCGCCCGCCACCACGCCCGGCTAATTTTTTGTATTTTTAGTAAAGATAGGGTTTCACCGCGTTAGCCAGGATGGTCTCCATCTCCTGACCTCATGATCCGCCCACCTCGGCCTCCCAAAGTGCTGGGATTACAGGCAGGCGTAAGCCACCTCGCCCAGCCCCAGGAGGGACCATGTCTTAATCCTGTCAGCCTCCACAGCTCTCAGCACAGGTGCTTGGCACATAGGTGCCCAGCAAATGTTTGCTGAATGAGAAAGTATAATGGATGTTCACAGAATAGGGAGCTTGGTGTTGTCTGAAATAGGAAAGGCTTCTATGGAAGAAGGGAGACTTGGTTGTACTTCTGGTCTCCCTCTACTAATGCTTCCGTTCCTAACATCTTTATAATTCTGTGTGGGTCCACCTCCTAATCTAAATTACATTCCTGGTTTGGACGATGAGGGAGCCACAGCAATTCTGTCTCTGACCTGCCCCTATCTCTTGGCTGAGGATGTTCTGGTGGGGACAGTGGCACTTGAGTGTGCTGACCTCTTGAGTGACCCTAGGTGCTACTTTGATGGCCCTCAAACTGTGACAACCCCACCTTCTGGAGGTGCAGTCACCCTTGTTACTCCACGGACTGGGCCTCCACTGGATGTTGTTAGTGCACCCAGAGATAATCAGGTCCTGGAAATCTGATCCCCAAAAAAGCAAACTCACAAGAGACAGATTAAAGATGAATGTAGGCTGAGCATGGTGGCTCATGCCTGTAATCTCAGCACTTTTGGAGGCCAAGGTGGGTGGATTGCCTGAGGTCAGGAGTTTGAGACCAGCCTGGCCAACAACATGGTGAAACCCCGTCTCTACTAAAAATACAAAAAATTAGCCTGGCATGGTGGCGGGCACCTGTAATTCCAGCTACTCGGGAGGCTGAGGCGGAAGCTTGAACTTGGGAGGCGGAGGTTGCAGTGAACCGAGATCGTGTCATTGCACTCCAGCTTGGGCAACGAGCCAAACTCCATCTAAAACAAAAACAAAAACAAAAACAAAAAAAACCATGTAATTTTAATTTATATCAGAGCTGACTTGACACGCTGGCTGGTCTGCTCAGAAACCACATTATGGTGCAAAGTGTTCATTTATTAAATATATTTATAGAATCTGAGCATGGGAATGGGAGGTAGCTGTGGGACCCTGATAAACAGTGTCAAGGTTTTCAAACTGGTCACCAGGCCAGTAGAACCAGCATTTCTTGGGAACTGGTTAGAATTGCAAATTTGCATCACTTTCATCCCCTCCTGCTTCAGACCTAGAAATGCTGAGGTTTGTGCCTAGCATTCTGTGTTTTTAACAAGCACCCCCAGTGAACATGATGCACACTCAAGTTTGAGTACCACTGACTTAAACTTTTTTTCTAAAAAAACGAAGACTAGCTGTCAAACATTATAGCACTCTTTTCTCAACAGAGATTGAATTCTAGCGTTTTTGTCTCCAGCCCATTTTCCTGACCCTTTTTTTTTTTTTTTTTTTGAGAAGGAGTCTCGCTCTGTCGCCCAGGCTGGAGTGCAGTGGCGCGATCTCGGCTCACTGCAAGCTCCGCCTCCCGGGTTTACGCCATTCTCCTGCCTCAGTCTCCTAAGTAGCTGGGACTACAGGCGCCCGCCACCTCGCCCGGCTACTTTTTTTTTTTTGTATTTTTTAGTAGAGACGGGGTTTCACCGTGTTAGCCAGGATGGTCTCGATCTCCTGACCTCGTGATCCACCCGTCTCGGCCTCCCAAAGTGCTGGGATTACAGGCTTGAGCCACCGCGCCCGGCCCTGACCCTTTTTTTTGATACGGGGTTTTGCTCTTGTTGCTCAGGCTGGAGTGCAATAGCGCGATCTCGACTCACTGCAACCTCTGCCTCCCCGGGTTCAAGCGATGATCCTGCCTCAGCTTCCAGAGTAGCTCACCACCACACCCAGTTAATTTTTTGTATTTTTAGTAGAGATGGGGTTTCATCATGTTGGCCAGGCTGGTCTCAAACTCCTGACCTCAGGTGATCCATCGCCTCAGCCTCCCAGACTGCTGGGATTACAGGCGTGAGCCACGGCTCCTGGCCCATTTTCCTGACCCTTTCTGTTTGCATTGGGCCTTAACTGTTACTCTATAACGTCACCACTTACTGGTATTTTATAATACTTAATAGATTGTACTGATCCCTGATAAGATCCTACGGATGCTCTTAATGTCTTCAGTGCATATTTGCAGTTTGTGTCTTAGGTTGGGATAGTTCAACAAGCATTTCCAAAATGAATAATGCCAAATATTGATTTCACTTGTTACCTTAAAGTAACACGTCCTAACCTTTCCGCAAACTCTAGGGGTGCACCTTACTTAGGGTCTCAGATTGTGTTTTTTTCTGATAGTTGACCACGCTTTTGCTTGGCTCAAATATTGGTGAAAATAATTTCTCACCCCCACAAAAAAAGAAAAAACAAACCAAAACCAAAACAAACAAAAAAAAAAAACCCCAAACAAAACCAAACACAGAAAGAAACAAAACTGCAGATTTCTAGCGGGAAGAGTTTGCCAGCTTGTTGGACAAATACTGTGAGATGAATGGGAAATACGGAAAAGACAGAAAACAAAGCTTCAACTGCATACAGCACATTTAGTTCAATGTGCCTCAGCACAGGCTGAGGAAAATGGGTCCTGCGGTTTATTCAAGATACCTCAGGGCCTAAATGAGGGATGGACTGATTCACACTTGCTGTGATCCGCAGCCTGGACCAAAGCTACAGAAGGGTCCTAGTGGGTGGCTGAGGACTTTCCCTGGGTGGGCCCTGGGAGGAGGAAGGGACCCCAGCGTCCCCAGGAGGGGAGGGCAGGCTTAGGAGGAAAAAAAAATCCTACAATCTTCACCTTTGTTCTGTAAAACATAAAAGAGTTTAAAAACGTTCATCTAAGTTTCCTTGGCTTCTCCCTGGGTACACACGTATCCTTTTTACTTTCCCCAACTCAGTTCTGTGGTGCGTGGGAGGCGCTGCAACAGAGTCTCGGTCCGGACTGGAGCCCCGGCGAGGGACGCCCCGGTTCCCCACGTAGCTTTCCCTCGCGAGGTTTCGCACTTTCCAGCGCGGCTCCTTCCCCCAGCCCTCCCGGCTCCCGCGTGGGACGCAGAGAGGGGTTGGGTGCCGCGCTGGCCCGGGAGTGGCTTATGCCTGACGGAGCCCGGATGGAGACCGTGGGACGCCCGCCCCGGCGTTGACTCCCGCGCCCCGGGTGAGGGTGGGCGGCCGCGCCTGGGTCCCGGACGCCGCGGGCGCTGAAGGCCTCGGGTGGGCGCGGCGCGGTGGCCGCGGGCGTGCGGTCCTACGGGCTGCAGGGGGCGCTGTGCGCGCCCTCAGGCTCGGCCGCCGAGCGCAGCTCTTTTTAAAAGGGACAGCGGGGCACGTGGCTCGGGACGCAGTTCGCGGCCCCCCGGCAGTAGCTCCCAGGCTAGGCGGGTCCCGCTCCGCCTCCGGTGTCGCCGCCGCGCCGCCCCGGGGCCCTACAGGCCGGGTCCCGGGACTGCAACCCAGCGAGGGACGCGGGTAGCCATGGCCGAAGCAGCGCCTGCCCGGGTAAGCGCCCTGGGCCCCGCGGACGCCGGGAAGGCCCAGGCCGCCGCTGCGTGAGCCCGCGCGAGGGACTCTGGCCGCGCGGGGCCGCCCGGCGAGAGGGCCCTGCGCGCAGCCTCCGCGCTCGCCGCCCCCGGCCCATCGCCCGGCCCGCGTCGAAGGCATTGACCGGGCGGCCCAAACTCCAGGCCCGGCGGGCGGGGCCCCGACGTCAGCGACGGACGATCCGGCCCTTCTGCGGCCTCTGCCAGCCCGGGCCTCAGAGTCACGCTCAGCGACTAGGAGGCCGCGCCTTGGAAGCATTGTTCCATTTGAGGCCCCGCGGCGCCCCCATAGCAGGCTGGGCGGGCAGGGGCAGCAGGCCCCACGGGACAGTCGCGGAGGCTGAGATGGGAAGGGACTGGCCCAGGGTCACGCATCTGTTAGAGGCGGGAGCCTCACGCCGGGGCAGGGACTTTGGAATTAGACACTTTAAAACGCCTCATAGTCTACTTTTGCCAAAGAGAAAGATTTAAGTGTCGTTTACAAGAGAGATTGTAGATTAAAAAAAAAAAATAAGTGTAGCAGATTTTATTTAAATTTTTTTTTTTAGAGGGAGTCTCGCTCTGTTGTGCATGCTGGAGTGCAGTGGCACGATCTCGGCTCACTGCAAGCTCCGCCTCCCAGGTTCAAGGGATTCTCCTTGAACTGGGACTCTCCGTGTAGCTGGGACTACAGGCGCCTGCTACCACGCCTGGCTAATTTTTCTATTTTTGATACAGACGGAGTTTCACTATGTCGGCCAGGCTGGTCTTGAACCCTAGACCTCGTGATCTGCCCGCCCCAGCCTCCCAAAGTGCTGGGATTACAGATGCGAGCCACTGCACCCGGCCGTTTAAAATTTTTTTAATTAAAAAATGATATAATATATATATATATATATATTTTTAGACAGGGTCTCTCAGCCAAGCTGGAGTGCAGTGGTGGGATCTCATCTCACCGCAACCTCTGCCTCTGCCTCCCGGGTTCAAGCGATTCTCCTACCTCAGCCTCCCAATCCCAAGTAGCTGGGATTACAGGCACAGGTGCCTGTCTCGTTTATATCTATCTGTCTGTCTGTCTATCTATCTAGATATATATCTATATGAATAAGTTTGTTCATAAGAATAAACTATAAGTATTCCTATACAGAATTTTTCTCCTGGAGAAGGAAGAATCACATCAGTTTTTTTCTGCATCTTCATCTGTATAAACTAGGCCAGTTTAACAGATTTTAGAATATTGGTTTGATATTGTGCAGTTTGTCCAATTGGGAGATTATAATCCTTTGGCCATTTTTGACATACTAGAAAACGCTTGTAAAGAGCTCAGTAGATGATACCTACTGTTATTAAGACACCTCAGTGAAGGTTTTGAAACCTTGATTTTTCTGGATACTTTTATTAAAGTAGAACTTCCTCTCCCTCCTCTTTACTTAGTGAGTGTGGTGAGCTTCTTTTTGGGTTCCCTGAGTGCAAGGGAGAGAAAAAACATTGGGGATTCTGCAGGTTTATAGTCCTGTTGCCTGGGAAGAGGGGGCCCTAGGAGGTGACGTCATCCACTCCCCCTAGCCTGGAGCTCACAGCTTTACTACCTTTCAGCTCACTCCTGTCCACCTGCTCCTTTCCCAATGCCTTCTTGCAGCACTTGAGATCCCAAGAAACTTCCCAAAAGGGACAGATTTGCCCTGGTCTCTTGTTAGCCCATCCTATCACACTGTTGTTATTTATAAGTATTCCTATACAGAATTTTTCTCCTGGAGAAGGAAGAACCCCATCAGTTTTTTTTTCATCTTCATTGTACGTTTACTATGATAGGTGTTCAGTAATTGTCGTTGAACGAATGAAGCAATTATAGATGATTAGTGCTAGGAAGGAGGGAACAGTGAAAGTCTCTAGGATGCGTAGTCTAAGCAAGACTCTTAAAGACCAGAGGGACTCAGGCATACAGAGGATGCATATTGAGAGCTGACACGAAGGTGGAGGAGGGCCGGGTGGGTCCTCGGAATCCACAGGAGGCCGGCATGGCTGGAGCGCGGCAGGAACTGGATGGCTCAAGGTCAAGAGAGGTGGGCTGGGCCATGAAGAAGTCTAGATCTTATGCCAGGTGCACTGGGAAACTACTGAAGAGTTTTAAGCAGGGGACTGCAATGATCTATTTGTGTTTTTAAAAGATTACCAGGCCGGGAGTGGTGGCTCATGCCTGTAATCCCAGCCCTTTGGGAGGCTGAGAAAGGCGGATCACAAGGTCAGGAGTTTGAGACCAGCCTGGCCAATATGGTGAAAGCCCATCTCTACTGAAAATATAAAAACCAGCTGGGTGTGGTGGCGGGTGTCTGTAGTCCCAGCTACTCGGGAGGCTGAGGCAGGAGAATCGCTTGAACTCGGGAGGTGGAGGTTGCAGTGAGCTGAGATTGCGCCACTGTACCCCAGCCTGGGCGACAGAGCAAGACTCTGTCTCAAAAAAAAAAAAAAAAAAAAAGATTACCGGTTACTCTGTGGAAAGTGTATTGTCGTGGAGAAGGCTGGAAGTGGGGGAGAAGGCTGGAAGTGGGGAAATCAGGTAGGCAGGACCGCAGTGGCCGAGGCCAAGCAAGGTGATGGGGACTTGGACTAGACACTGGCAGTGGCGAAGGAGAAACATCGATGGATTTGAGGTAATTTTGGAAGTTAGTACCCTGTGGTGATTTAACCATGAAGCATGAATGAAATTGAGGGGTGAGATGTCGATTTGTCTCTCCAACGAGGCTTTTAGCAGCACCAACCAGGACTGTGCCCATTGCACATGCACGATGATGGCTTGTGAATCAGGTATCAGGGTAAGTTGAGGCACTTGAGAAGCTTTTTCCAAGGCACTGAAGGACAACGGAATGAAAGAGGTAGAGGTAAAAAAAAGGCCATATGAACTATTTGTACCATATCCCTGAGCCAGAATCATCACCATAATCACCGTCATTGTCTCAGTCTGCTCAGGCTGCCTTACTTGGTTCCCGGCAGGTCTCTTTTCCTGGTTTGCAGACGGCTGCCTTCTCATTGTATCCTCACATGGCATACAGCAAGATCGTGTCCCTTGTGTTTCTTCTTACAAGGGCACGAATCCTACATATGAGGGCTCTGCCTTCATGACCTAATTGCCTCCCAGAGGCTCCACCTCCAAATACCAGCATATTGGGGATTACTGCTTCAGCAAATGGATTTTGAGGGAGACACAAACATTCGTTCCATAGCAATCATCATCTTCTTAGCCCTGCGACATGGGGCTCATGTTTATTATTTGTGCTGTGCTACACATTGTACTAAGTACTTTGTACACAGATTTTTCTTAATTCTCTCAGTCTTATTGTATAGGTACTATTATTATCTCCATTTTCTAGATGGGGAAGGGAAGTTGGAAGCTGTTGGAAACACCTTGCCCACAGTTGGCCAGCTTGTGAGTGGCAGAGCTGAGTTGCACGTGGGCTGTCCACTGGAGAGTCATGTCTCTGTGTCACAAAGCCTTGTCCCTTCATTTTTAGAGGAGGAAACAGACCCAAGAAGGGGAGTCACTGGTTTGAGGAAGGGGAGTCACTGGTTTGAGACTGCATGGTTTGCTCAAGCTTATGGGGCATGCCCTGTCCCCATAGCTAGTATATAGGATGGGCAGGGGCTGTTTTTCTCCACTTTCCCAGTTGCTGACACGTTGGTCCAGCCACTGTCTCTTGTATCAGTTAGGCTGGATTCCTAACTGACACCCTAGCCTCTCCATCTCCCCCCAGGCTGCTGCTAACTCAGGATCCCAGATGGGGCTTTACCATTGCAGGTGTCATTTCTGAGGTGTGTTTTTGAGATGGAAGGTTTGATTGTATAATTCTCATAATACCTCTCTTTTCTCTTCTTGTGAGCAGGCCCCCAAGACAGACAAGCACACAGAGGACCAGAGTCCTTCCACACCCTTGCCCCAGCCAGCTGCTGAGAAGAACTCGTACCTCTACTCCACGGAAATCACACTGTGGACGGTGGTGGCTGCCATTCAGGCCTTGGAGAAGAAGGTGGATTCCTGCCTGGCCCGCTTGCTGACTCTGGAGGGGCGCACGGGGACAGCCGAGAAGAAGCTGGCCGATTGTGAGAAGACAGCTGTGGAGTTCGGGAACCAGCTGGAGGGCAAGTGGGCCGTGCTGGGGACCCTGCTGCAGGAGTACGGGCTGCTGCAGAGGCGGCTGGAGAATGTGGAGAACCTGCTGCGCAACAGGAACTTCTGGATCTTGCGGCTGCCCCCAGGCAGCAAGGGGGAGTCCCCCAAGGTAGCGGCGGGACACCCTGCGGGGGGGAGAGCTTGAGGGGCCGAGCCTGTGAGCGTGTGGGTGAGTGAGTGCAACACTTGTGGTTCCAGGTGCCTGTGACCTTCGATGATGTGGCCGTGTATTTCTCTGAGCTGGAGTGGGGCAAGCTGGAGGACTGGCAGAAGGAGCTCTACAAGCACGTGATGAGGGGCAACTACGAGACCCTGGTCTCCCTGGGTAAGGCCACGGAGGGAGGATCTGGGCCTCTGTCCACAGGTTGTCTGTGGACAGTCTGTTTCTTTGCTTTGGCTTTTGGTACTTTGGGCACCTCTGCATCTTTGTGGGCATCTCGGGTCCAGCTCTTCCCCATTTCTTGTTCTGTGCACAGATTATGCCATCTCCAAACCGGACATCCTCACCCGGATAGAGAGGGGAGAGGAACCTTGTCTTGACGGGTGGGGCCAGGAGAAGCAGAATGAAGTAGAGGTGGGGCATCCAAGGATGTTGGGCACTGGTAAGTAAAAGAGCAAGATGTGGTGGCGTGGGGGGAGTGCCAGGGGCTAGCTGCACCATCACCCACCCTCTTGGGCTTCCCAGACAATCAGGGAGGCCAGAAAGGGAGCATAGGCCATTAACCCAAAGTGGGACCACTCGGTACAAGGCCACCCTGGACAGGAGTGGGTGGCAGACTTAGAGCCATAGGGTTTCTGTATCTGTCCAATGTGGGCCATCATACTCACCTTACGTGGCTGTGATGACCGAGTGACAAATATTAAGCATGTACATGCTGATCACTTTGTAATAGTGGGGACTGGCCGGGCACGGTGGCTCACGCCTGTAATCCCAGCACTTTGGGAGGCTGAGGCGGGTGGATCATGAGGTCAGGAGATTGAGACCATCCTGGTTAACATGGTGAAACCCTGTCTCTACTAAAAATAAAAAAAATTAGCCGGGCGTGGTGGCGGGCGCCTGTAGTCCCAGCTACTCGGGAGGCTGAGGCAGGAGAATGGCGTAAACCCAGGAGGCGGAGCTTGCAGTGAGCCGAGATTGCGCCACTGTACTCCAGCCTGGGCGACAGAGCGAGATTTTGTCTCAAAATATATGTATGTGTGTATGTGTATGTGTGTGTATATATATATATAGTGGGGACTTAGTAATACCTCCACCAGCAGCACTGCTGCCTCCTGGCGTCTTCAGGCGTGTCCATGTCCCTGCTATTGCTTGTGACCCTGTCGCAGTCCCACAGCCCCAGCCTGTGGCAGGAAGGCCTGTCATGTGCTAGCTTCCATTTGTGTACATGGCCCTCGGTAGGAGGGCCAGGCATGCCCTGTCCTTGTAGCTGGTATATAGGACAGTGGTTCCAAAGGGGACTGCACATCACAGTCCTCTGGGGGGCTTTTTTTAAAATTAAATTTTAATAAAGTAGAATAGCACAGTGAATCTCCAAATGATCGTCACCCAGGCTCAACCCTCCGCTGGGTTTGCCACACTCGCTTCATCTGTTTTTTCCCTTTTCCTGAACGTAACCACAATACCATGGTCACACCCACAGAATATCAGAATATCATCTAATACCATCTAATACCTAGCCTTTGTTTTGTTTTCCCCAGTTGTCTCAAAAATGTTTTCTATACGTCTTAGGATCCTAATTGTAATACACCCAAGTCCACATTTTACATTTGGTTTGTGTCTCTGAAGTCTATAAAAACAAACTTATGAAACCCCCCCAGTCTTTTTCAACAGCTTTATTGAGATATAATTCATATACAATATAATTTACCTATTAAAGTGTGCAACTGAGTACTTCTTAAAAAAATTTCAACTTTTACTTTGGATATAGGTGTACATGTGCGGGTTTGTTACATGGGTATATTGTGCCCAGGTAGTGAGCATAGTACCCAAGTTTTTCAATCCATGCTCCCCTCTTTCCCTTCCCCCTCTAGTAGTCCACAGTGTGTGTTTTTCCCAGGTTTATGTCAATGTATGCTCATTGTTTAGGTCCCAGTTATAAGTGAGAACATGCAATATTTGGTTTTCTGTTCTTCCATTAGTTCACTTAGGATTATGGCCTTCAGCTTCATGTTGCTGCGAAGCACATGATTTCATTCTTTTTTATGGCTATGTGGTATTCCATGGTGTATATATACCACATTTTCTTTATTCAACCCACCACTGATGGACACCCAGGTTGATTCCATGTCTTTGCTACTGTGAATAACATTGTGATGAACATATGTGTGCATGTATATTTTTGGTATAATGATCTATTTTCCTTTGGGTATATACCCAGTAACAGGATTGCTGGGTCAGATGGTTGCTCTGTTTTAAGTCCCTTGAGAAATCTTCAAACTGCTTTCCACAGTGGCTGGACTAACTTACATTCCCATCAACCGTGTATAGGCATTCCCTTTTCTCTGCAGCCTCGCCAGCATCTGATGGGTTTTGAGTTTTTAATAATGGTCATTTTGACTGGTGTGAGATGGTACTCATTATGGTTTTGATTTGCATTTCTCTGATGATTAGTGATGGTAAGCATTTTTTCATATTTGTTGGCCGCTTGCATGTCTTTTTTTAAGAAATGTCTGGGCCGGGCGCGGTGGCTCAAGCCTGTAATCCCAGCACTTTGGGAGGCCAAGGCGGGCGGATCACAAGGTCAGGAGATCGAGACCACAGTGAAACCCCGTCTCTACTAAAAAATACAAAAAATTAGCCGGGCGCGGTGGCGGGCGCCTGTAGTGCTAGCTACTCGGGAGGCTGAGGCAGGAGAATGGCGTGAACCCAGGAGGCGGAGCTTGCAGTGAGCCGAGATCGCGCCACTGCACTCCAGCCTGGGCAACAGCGTGAGACTCCGTCTCAAAAAAAAAAAAAAAAAAAAAAAAAGAAATGTCTGTTCATGTCCTTTGCTTATTTTTTGCTTGTTGGTTTAAGTTCCTTATAGATGCTGGATGTTAGACCTTTGTCAGACGCATAGTTTGCAGATATTTTTCTCCCATTCTGTAGGTTTCAGTTTACTCTGTTGGTAATTTCTTTTGCTATGTAGAAGCTCTTTAGTTTAATTAGGTCCCACTTGTCAATTTTTGTTTTTGTCACAGTTGCTTTTGAGGACTTAGCCAAAAATTCTTTGCCAAGGGCAATATCGAGGAGAGTATTTCCTAGGTTTTATTCTAGAATTTTTGTAATTTGAGGTCTTACATTTAAATCTTTAATCGATCTTGAGTTACTTTTTGTATATGGTGAAAGGTAGGGGTCTAGCTTCATTCTTCTGCACATGTCTAGCTAGTTACTACCCCAGCAACATTTATTGAATAGGGAGTCTTTTCACCATTGCTTTTTTTTTTTTGGTCAGCCTTGTCCAAGATCAGATTATTGTAAGTGTGTGACTTTATTTCTGAGTTTCCTATTCTGTTCCATTGGTCTACGTGTCTGTTTTTGTACCAGTACCATGCTGTTTTGGTTACTACAGCCTTCTAGTATAGTTTGAAGTTGGGTAGTGTGACACCTTTGACTTTGTTCTTTTTGTTTAGGATTGCTTTGGCTATTCTGGCTCTTTTTTGGTTTCATATGAATTTTAGAATTGTTTTTTCTTATTCTGTAAAGAATGATAGGAGTAGTTTGAAAAGAATAGCATTGAGTCTGTAAATTGCTTTGGGCAGTATGGCCATTTTAACAATATTGATTCTTTCCATCCATGAGCATGGGATGTTTTTAAATGTATCTGTGTCATCTCTGATTTCTTTCAACAGTATTTCATAGTTCTCCTTGTGGAGTCTTTCACCTCTGTGGTTAGCTGTATTCCTGGGTATTTCTTTCTTTTTTTTGGTAGCTATTGTAAATGGAACTGTATTCTTGATTATACACTTTCAGGCTGATGTTATTCTTGTGTAGGAATGCTACTGATTTTTGCACACTAATTTTGTATCCTGAAACCTTACTAAAATTGTTGATCAGTTCCAGTAGCCTTTTGGCAGAGTTTTTAAGGTTTTCTAGGTACAGAATCATTGTCAGCAAAGAGAGATAGTTTAACTTCTTTTCCTATTTGGATGCCGTTTGTTTCTCTTGCCTTATTGCTCTGGCTAGGACGTCCTATAGTTGAGTGTTTTTTAGTATATTCACAAAGTTGTGCAGCCATCACCACAATCCAATTTTAGACCTTTCTTGTTCCATCAAAAAGAAACCCCATACCCATTAGTAGTCACTGCCTGTTCCTCTGCCCACCTGTTCCCCTGCCCCAGGCAGCCTCTGATCTGCTTTCTGTGTCTATGCATTTATCCATCTGGAAACTCCATATAATGGAATCATACGGCCGGGTGCAGTGGCGCACGCCTGTAATCCCAGCACTTTGGGAGCCTGAGGTGGGCGGATCATGAGGTCAGAAAATCAAGACCATTCTGGTCAACATGGTGAAACCCCGTTTCTACTAAAAATACAAAAAATTAGCTGGGTGTGGTGGTGTGCAACTGTAATCCTAGCTACTCAGGAGGCTGAGGCAGGAGAATTGCTTGAACCTGGGAGGCGGAGGTTGCAGTGAGCCAAGATTGCACCACTGCACTCCAGCCTGGGCAACAGAGCGAGACTCTGTCTCAAAAAAAAAAAAAAAAAAAATGGAATCATATATTATGTGGCATTTATGCCTGCCTTCTTTCATTGAGCATAATGTTTTGAAGGTTCATCCACATTGATTGTAGTATGTATGAGTACTTCATTCCTTTTTGTGGCTGAGTGACACTCCATTGTAAAGATATGCCACATATTGTTTATTCCTTTATCAGTTGATAAATTCCCCCCGTGCCCCCCCATTTATTTATTTATTTATTTATTTATTTATTTATTTATTTATTTTGAGACAGGATCTCACTCTGTTGCCGAGGCTGGAGTACAGTGTCATAATCTCAGCTCACTGCAGCTTTGACCTCCTGGGCTCAAGTGATTCTCCCATCTCAGCTTCCCGAGTAGCTGGGACTACAGGCACATGCCACCATGCCTCGGCCTTTCAAAGTGCTGGGATTATAGGCGTGAGCCATGGCGCCTGGCCTGGTTCTTTGATTTTATGTTGTTTATCACTTTCCTTTTACGTGGAAATCTTAAATTCTCAACTAAATTTGCGTAATTTCTTCAGTGATCTTATATCCAATCCTAGCACTTCGTTATCCTATAATGTATCTTACAATTTCAAAACAGTGAAGCAATAATACTACTAACAGTTAGACTTCCATTGAAATACAAGATTTTTTTGCAGCTCTTTTTGTCCTCTGTATACATTCTGTGCAGGACTTATGGGCAAAATAATGCCTTTAAAGTCACTTGAAATGTTTTCTGTATGTACTTATGCCACCAACTTAGTATACAGTTGCATTCATTTGTTTTAGATTTTTTTATAGATTATTCTTTTTGGTTTTTGATGTAACTTAATTTTTTGAATATGTAAGCTATTTTATGTTTGCAAAGTCAAAATGATTTAACATGGTACATTCGAGGAAATCTCGTTTCCCTCCTTGTGCCCTCTCCCTATAGATA